CAGAGCACTCATGATAGACTCGGGACTTCCCAAAAGTATGTGGTCGTTGGCATCAGACGTTGCCACAAATGTCTACAATAGGACATAACACTCGGGAATAAACTTCGAGACACCTCTTCAGAGAATGGATCAAAGGCTTAAATCCCATATTGACAACATCAGACGTTTTGGTTGCTTGGCATATACAAGAGTGCCAATCCCAGAGTCGAAATTTTCAGAGAGAGCAGTCAAGACTGTACTGGTGGGTTATACCAAGTCGGGTTACATACTCTGGCAATATGAGACCGGCAAGTTTGTTATCTCCAGGCACGCGAAATTCAATATGAAAGAAAGTAAACCTCAAAAGACTCCCATGGTGACCAGGCAAGTCAAAAGCTGAAATCAGAAGCACTCAAAAGATGAAGATGAAGCAGAAGTAGCGCAGTTGACAAATGTACCCTACAGAGAGGCAATTGGAAGCCTTCTCTACCTGGCTAGTGCGACAAAACCAGATATTGCGTACTCGGTCAACTATTTGTCGAGGAAACAACTGCAACCAACAATGGATGACTGGAAAGAAGTAAAAAGGATTTTCAGATATCTCAGAGGAACAACTGCCTTGGGTTTAACCTATAGAGGACAAAAAGGGGACCTTTTTGCAATGACTGACACGAGCTTCAGAGATCTAGATAATTCTGCTACGACTGGCGGGTACGTCATAAAATTGTTTGGCGATCCTGTTATGTGGAGAAGTCACAAACAGTCATATGTGACTCTCTCGACATGTCATGCAGAGTATCTAGCCATGAGTGATGCTTGTCAAGAGCTGGTGTCTCTGGATAAGGCGATTAGAAGTATAACGGGAACGTCTATGTATCCTGTGACTGTCTGGTGTGATAATTTGGCAGTAGCTGTTAAGAGCACTCAGATGGATGGATGTCATAGACTCAAAACTTTGATGATGACCTTCAGACGATCCAGAAACAATTGAAACAGAGAGAGATTACTGGCAAAAAGTGTCACATGGCAAGTACACATGGTGACTATGTGAAAGCATGTGTGCTGGAGAATAAAGTAAATGTTAGATGGATTTCCACTTTAGAGAATAAGGCAGATATCATGACAAAACCTTTGTCCTCAGAAAAACACATCTACTTCAGAAGAAAATTACTAAACAGTAATTTTTGATCAGAGAACTCAGAGATTTAAATATTTAATTTTAATGTGATTTCAGATACGTCAAACCAAGGAGACAGTGATATGGAGATCACTAGCTCCAAATCAGAGTCGGAGTAATCTTCAGACGTGTTAAACTTCAGAGACGATTCTTCAGGGCGATCAACCCAAAGGAAGGGAGTGTTAAGAAAAGGTGCTTTGTGCTGCTGCCTGACGCCTCTCGTGTGTAACACACTATACGGCTCGTCACAGCTGTTCAAGACTACTCACTTCTGCCCGAGCACTTGTACAGCGAGCATCGTCCTTCCGGCAACACATACCGCCTGTGGCAACTCTTATTAAATAAAGTTTTACGTGTTCACAAAATACAAGAAGGGCATTTTTGTCTGCGACCTGTCCCTCACCCTTCCACCACTTGCAATAAGGCTTAAGTCCAACATTAAGTGATCTGAATTGCCTTATCATCTGCCCTACCGTGTGATTTTGCATCATATTGCATGCCCTGCTTTATCACAGCTAGTGTTGCCTTACTAGTTTTACCATTTTTGTGTTTTCTGCTATCTTTCTATTTTCTATTTCTTTCTACGCATGTATCGATGCCTGGTAAACTAATTTGTAACATCTGTAAATTGCCTATTTTAAGGTCATACACCAGAGCTGTCTCCACGCAGTGCTCGGGAGCATATGCTGGAATATATATAGGAATATTCCATACATTCTGCCTGGTGTCACCCAACGTCTCAAACCATAAGCGTGCAGGCTGCTGCATTTCCCAACAATTTCTACGTATCAGTTACTCCCCAGCAATACCAAGCCTATACCCATCGCCACTCCCACTGCTCATGCCTGTGATACCCCCCCTCCCCCCGACTTCTAAGATTTTTCCAACGTCAGCAACAAAACGACTCATTTCGCTGCCCTCACCATTATTATCACAAATCACAAAAGCTTCCAGGATCATAAACTTCTCCAGTCCCTTGATTTCTTCTGACTCATACCACACCATGGAGTCTTCTCAAATACTTGTCAGCCCATTAAACGCCTCCCAAAATGCACTTCCACCCTCTAATACCACCACACCCTCTACGCTGTCACAAGACACCCTAGCCTGGTTCAATAGCTTTTTTATGATCTACTTAAACAATAATCGCGATCTAATGACCGTAATGTGCAGTCATAAGTTTCACATTAACGCCCTTGAAGCCAGGTCCTCGACGAATGAATCAATGGAGATCCGCTTTATTGGTCTTTCGCCTTCTTCCACTGAATAATATCGAGCCCTTGTGATCGGAGTACTAAATGCCAGTAGGCTGCCTGACTGCGCTAACCTCATTGTTTGGATCCAACAATGGATTGAAAGGCCCTCACTTTCAACTGCAGCCTTGTCGGCCGCCACCCAAGCAACCGGCAATTCACAATCTCTCTCACTGGTGGCTGAATTTGTCACATCTCGGGTCCGCGATCTTTTAGTCTCGCAATACTACCGCCTGAAGAACACCAAGGCCCAGGACCTATTTGAGCTGGGCGGTAACACATCTATTTTCTGCCGTCCTCTCTGGCCACCACCGCTTCACAACCTTTTGCTCAAAGCCCGTGAGATCCAGCATCGCCTCAATTCCTTGCCCTCCGATAGTTAGCGACCTTCAGATCTTTATGCGGCCAAATCGCACTGCTAACTTTATACCAATCATATCGTAGGCAGACCTTGCTCTCCTGCTGCCACAAGTCCCGCAAACACGCCGATGACTAGCCCAATGACTATAGCTTTTTGAGCGCGCGGTGGCTCGGTCGGCTAGGTCGTGGATTGGCACGCGGGAGACCGTGGTTCAATTCCCGGCCATAGTGCGACTTTTTCGGGCACGTACCTCTGTGATTGTTCACATGTGCTTTTTCACCACGCAATGCTCCTCGAAGAGGCTTTAGGCGACCTCCTCGCAGCAAAAATTGCCTAATTTCCCCCTACCCCCTCCCAATAATGGGAGGCCTCCCATCCCTTTCCTTGTCCCTTTCACAAGTGCTAAGTGCCCATAGTAGTGCCCTTATTAAAAAGGAGCCGGACGTAGAGCACTATAATATAAAAAAAAAAAAAGACTATAGCTTTTCCCTATCCGCCCACTTTCAATAGTCAAAACACAAACTCCATCAACTTCATCCATGCCAATATAAATTGGTTAAATGACTCACACCACGCGCAATTAGAACTCCTAGTCGCCAACAAGTCCCCCGACGTCATTGATGTTACTGAAACCTTTCTTACGCCGGATACTCTGAGTGCGGTCGTTTGCCTCGATGGCTACTCGTTGTTTCGTGTCCACAGGGTGAGGAAGGAGGGAGGTGGTGTTGGTGCTTACATTCGCGACTCGTTTAAAACCACAATCCTTGCAAATTCAGATTCAGACTTTAACAATACGCCAGAGTTCATCATTCTCGAAATACCCATGGCTGCTTATAAAACCCTGATATCCATAGTTTACCATCGCTCTTCAGCTGCCCTCCCACACCAGTTCTTCGACACACTTTCCGACCATCTTCCCGAATACTCAAACATCATTATCATAAGCGACTTCAACATCAACATGCTCACTTCATCCATCTCATCCCAATTTCTCACCACTAAAATTGCTGAAAATTCTCTCTATCTTGTTCCCTCCAGTCCAACACACCATGCCTTTTATCGCAATAATCTTTCCCATACCTGGATTGACCTTTTTATAATAAGAGATCCCTCCGTACTCATCCATTATAAACAGTCCACCTCCCCTTTCATCGCTGCAGGAAGACTTATTTCTCCTGTGAATGATAACGCAAGCGCCTATCCCCACACAGGGGCTCTTACTGGCTGCTTTAATCATTTGTGATTAATAAAATAAAAACACAAGCGCCTATCCCCACACAACCTGGGGCACTTACTGGTCGCTTTAATTATTTATGATTAATAAAATAATAACGCAAGCGCCTATTTCCACACAGCCCGGGGCACTTACTGGCTACTTAAATTATCAATAAAACAAATCTAATAACACAAGCGCCTATCTCCACATAACCCGGGGCGCTTACTGGTCGCCTTGATTATTTATAATAGGTAAAATAATAATGCAGCAAGTTAATGGCGCTTGGATTATTCTATTTATTATAAATAATCAAAGTGACCAGTAACCGCCCCGGGTTGTGTGGGGATAGGCGCTTGTGTTGTTATTTTACATATTATAAATAGTCAAAGCGACGAGTAATTGCCCCGGGTTGTGTAGGGATAGGCACTTGCGTTATTATTCACAGGAGAAATAAGTCTTTCCCTCCACTCCTGCTGTAGCTCTGCTCTGATTGGCTTCGGAACTTTTGCAACGGAAAGTTTCGATAGCGGTGGGGGTACACGCAGATCCTCTTTGCCAACATCACAATCAACTACCCTGCCTTCCGGTTCTGCACTCTACCGCGTCCAGAAACTCTATTGCGCATTTGAAAACTCTAGCCTTACTTTGTCCTTTCTTCTTATAGTTTTTATTCATACGTTGTTTTTTACTATCATAAGTTTGCTATTATTCACGTATAATTTCAATTTTTGCCAGATGGGGATCTTCCCCAGGGCATAATAAACATCTTAAACAATCTCTCAAACCCGAGCTTCACTGCCCCTGCTGCTAGTGAGCGGTCTATTCTTTATATGTCTATGCCGACTACCCCTATCGACTACAAAAAAAAACCGCACCCATTCTTGATGGAGGAATCGGAACGACCGACCGATCACAAAAAAACGTACCCTTTGCCTTTGCAACGTTAAGAAATGGAAATGCATTTTTTTTTACGTAAACAGCAGACTGCATCCGCGCTATCTGATTAATCAACTATTGAGAAAGTAGCCTAAATGAATTACTACTACACTGGCGACTGATCACAAAAGATTATCAATATTTACTACTAAGTACCTTTTAAAGATGGGATAGTATCAGTGTGAATCAAACTTTAAATCCATTACTTTTATTTCATTTTTGTTCGGAAAGTATACGCATTAGTGTGAAAATAAGATATTGATTTAAACTTGACTCAGCCCTAAATTCGGTTCATGCCATAGAAATAACTTATCTTATTTTATTTTATTTTATTTTATTTTATTTGGCTTAAAAGTTAAATGGAATTTACTTGAGTCGTTCTTAGATTTTTTTGAATACTGAGGAGCATAATTAGGTTTTTGTTATACTAGAGCCGCAAATGCATTTTTTGTCAATGCAGATGTAATAAGTACCATAGTAGAATTAAACTTTCACCCTCAATTTACATGTTGTTCAATCCATGCCATGTAAATAAGAAAAAGATTTTGCATGTTTTATAAATTTTGTTCGTGTTTTGCAGAAACATAACATGAATGAAGGAAGTAGCCATTTCTGTGTTACACAAAAGTTAAGTGTAGTGGTTTTGAAATGAAACAAGTACTATCCATATCCATGCGAGAATTTGTGCAATGAAAATTTGAAACTATTAATCTTGGACTTACAAGAATAATATTTGATTTAAAAAGTAATTGCAAATTGTTCAAATCGTTTTCAAAGTCATATTCGGTATAATTATGCCTGGTATGAAAGACAATTTTTTTTGTTACAGTAAAGTGTTTATTGATGTTTACTGTGTACATTGCATGTAAACTAAAGTTATTTACTTAAACTAAATAAAATAATTAAAGTGTATTTTGTGTACTTATAAGTGATAAAGTGTTTTAAATTTGAAGATAATGCGCTTACATAACAGCTTATTTGTATCAAATCAACTTAGTTAAGAAATGACATGAGTGATACAGTTATTTTGGGATAATGGCTTCTAAAAGTTGCACCAAATCTTATAACCGTAAATTAAATAATAGCATTACATCTTGTAATATTCAATTTGATAAATTGTTTCGAGAAAGTAACAGCCGACCTTCAGCTGCAAAATCTGCTGGTACTGTTGGAAAATGGGGAATAACCTCGTTTACTTCTATAAGAAGTTCAAGCATAAGTGGTATGAACTTTTAATTATCTGCATAAACAATAATAAATAGAACTTATCTTTTATTCACATGGACTTAATCTAACTAAAGTCTATTAAGAGTGCGTCTACTACTCCAAAGTATGAAAATTTCAGTCTAAGTAGTCTAAATTTGCAAACACACTTAACGATTCTAAAGAAAATACCCATGCTGATTCTCGTCATCAGATTCTGCATCGTAACGATTCACATTTAAATAAGCATTCTGCTAAACTTAACAATTGTACCCATATGTACTTGTATCATAAATTTTTTAACAAAGTAAAAAAAAGTATATATATTTATATATACTTCACATGGATCTCGAATAATTATGGAATGCGTTTTCAAATAAACAAGTATTATTATAATTAAAATTTTAAAAGGTCCAATCTGAGACAGTGTTTTTAAGACCAGCTGCTCTAATAGGGGTTTGTAAATATTAATAAGATGTTCTATTTTATTGTTCGTATACTTTAATGGTTTACTTTGTTATTATCTTACCTAATCCAAGTAACAAGCACATCCATATATTTTTGTTATAATAAACCTAACTATTTGATACTTTGCATCGTAAAAATATATCATGGAATTCAACGTTTTTTATGACTGTTATTGAATTAAGGTTACAGAGTCAGGCATTGTGAGATCTTGGAATAAACTATCAAGTGTAAAAGTAAATGGAGCAAATTTTTCAGTTCAGGTAAGTACTGCACCACTTTAGAGTAAAAAGATGTATCCCCTAACTGATCTGAGATCATCTGCCCCAACTGGCCCTGGCATCAGACTAATCTTAAATTACATCTTTTTGTCTGCTGAATTCAAGATTGCAGTTTTTTGTCCCTTGGAGTTACCTTAGAATCTTTTTTATATTCTAATGTTTCTCAGTGTACTTGTTGAATTTATTTGCAGTGTTAATCGCAAAGTCCAAGTCTGGTTTTGTAACTTAGTATGTATGTATAATTGCCCTTACTGCATTCTGGTAAAGAATTTCTGCAAGCTTTTCAATTTTTTCCTTTGACTTTGATGATAAGTTAGTTTTAGGCTTACCTCTAGGTTCAATTAGGGTGTTCATAGATAAAGGATGCAATAGCTTACTCTATATACTCAGTCGTACTTAGTGCCTAAACATCTTTTGACTTTACCAAGGTCCTTTAGTGGAAAAGAAACCATTTAAGGTTTATGTCTTTAAAATTTTATCTAAGTTTTAGTTCCAGGCTTGTTTCAGTCTGAAAATAGCTTTTGACAATTAGTAAACTTTGTTTGGCGTGATTCTTTGTTCATAAATTCATTTTTCTGCTGGAGATATATTTCTTCTTGAAAATCGCCATACCTACAAAAAAAGCAGTTTCAACATCCATATCATGTCTTGCTGCATAAACAAACAACAATCTGAGAATTGTGTACTTGGTCAGTGGTGAATACATCTTATAAAAGTCAAGTCCAATGACTTAAAAGAATCATCTAACAACCAGTTTGGCTTTTTATATAGTGATATTTTTGTTAAAATCCATTTTGTTGAAATTATATTATCTTGGAGTTAATTACACAGTCTCTAAGTGCCAGATCCGTTTATTCACTTGAATTGATGCAGCATAATAATATTATTGAGCAGCCTTTGGTATACTTTGAGCTTTTCCGGAATCTTTCAGGTAACATAATTGTTGTAAAAAGCTGGTAGGCCTCAAAATACTTTGGTTTGCTTATGAGTCTGGAAGTTTTGGCTGATATTTGTGAAGGTAACAATCGTAAGTAGGGGAAGGGAGGGCACATCGAGCAGGGCTGCATAGCGTGGCACCTTATTAATATTAATATTCATGCATTTTGAAAATAAGATTTTCACAAAAATTAAATAAAAAAGGCTCTTTCTATTGTCCTCCGTTTTTAATGTAATACAATAACGTTTTCTGTTTATTTTATAATTTTTAAATGTAGTGTACTGAAAAAAGGTTTCCTTCATTTCTCAATAGCTTAAAGCAGGTCGAAAGTGTTATAATTTGTAACCAAAAATAGGTTAATTTGATAGCTCAGGTCCTTGACTTTCTCGTTTAACAATTTTTTTCATTCTAAAGTTTATATAAGTATCGTAATAAATAATATAAAATTGTATTAGAATGGGGCAGGCGTGGCACCTCGGGTAGGGCAGACGTAGCACGGTGAATAGCCAGTGTTGGCTTCAAGATGGCGAAAAGTGGTCCCCCCACCACTCTCCCGTCTAAGAAGAGTGGTAGGGGGACTGCTTTTTGGTCGCGGCTGCGCGACAGCACAGAGCGTCGTCTGCTACGACAACGGTTCTCAAATTGCAGCTCTGTACGATTATAAATATGCACATATATTGTGTCGCCGAATGCATGCATATACATATATAGTCTCGGGTACTTGACCGTCAGCACATGATGATGTATTTTGTCAGCTGATCGTTGCATAAGTGCCCAGTGCTGTCCTGTGCTGGTGCTGATAACGAAGAAGCCTTGACTCCTTTTTTCTACATCTTGGTCGAGCTGACAAATCTGGCCTTTCTCACCAAGTCAAACGATGAGGTGAGCAAAGATACTATCTGTTAGTGCTAGCAGTTTGACAAGTAGCTGCTAAGCAGATCTGACAAGTAAACTGCATATTTCAGTTATAAGCCCAACAGTGTTTGGTGAGTTGCAGTGCTTGTTTTTTTAATTCTCTTTTTGTATAGTTTTTTGTCTCTCTCAAATTTGTATATAAATCAAGCAGGACTTTAACGTGGGATTGCTGACAAATGAGTAATTCCCACAAGTTTCCAATCATAAAGTTGTGATTTACTTTTCCTGCAATCAAATCAACCAAAACATAAAAAAAACTTATCAAGAAGCAAGAGGTTAAAATTTGGTTTTATCAAGCACAATTTTAGAGGATAATAAGAAAAATCAAGGGCTGATGAAGTTTGACAAGAAAATGTACCTGAATCTCTGAAATCATCGAATGGCTGTGAATTCCAGTTGCTCCAGAGGCTGTAGTAAAGAGTTTTTTAATAATTATTGTTCACAATAGAGGTACAGAGAAAAGTCACTCAACGCTCTCATGAAAACTTGGTGCCATGTGATGCTAATAGCACAGTTAATAAAAATGAAGATCAGACTTGCTCAAAATTAACAAGTGCGCAGCTCATCATATTCCAAACAAATAGTATAGTTGTGATAAATGGTGTTTACAATTATTCAAATGAAGTAAATTATGAAGGTTAAGAAATTTCATGAAGCTGTAGATGTGACCTGGTCACCTCCAGTCCAGCAGCCCACCAACTTTCCAATTTTGCTGGCTGCAGTAACAGTTGCTCAGCAGTTGGATATCAGTTTTAGTATTGTAATGCCAGTTTGGATTTGTATTCTCTCAACTTGGAGCAGCCAGGCTGTATGATACGTACATCAAGATCGGTGTGCCAAGTGATCAAAGGTTTTGTCCTTTTTTTTTCATTCATGTGTACCTAAAATATTCGTAGTGTTGAGAAATTTAGTATGATAATTATAATTACCATCAAGATTTTACAAAATAATTTGGGGAGCTGGCGGAACGAATCCAGCTGGCATTATTGTGAGTTGCTATGATTGTGGAAAAATAATGATTCACTTTGCTGACAAGATGTTTGAGAACGACAGCAACTGTTTGATTAGCAGTCCCGACAAACACAAAGGTCCTGTGAGAGCACTGGACTTTAATCCATTTCAGTCTCATTTTCTAGCTACTGGTGCGACAGATAGTGACACTTATACTTTGTATATTAATTGGACAAATGAGCCTATGTCTCCTAGTTCCAAAAAAATTTACCACCTGAGGATGTACTAGATAAATCATCGAATACACGAGGTACATTACTTGGCAACATTTTTTTTTACACATTCATAATTGACATTAGAGCATTTTGTTGTTGACAGTGCAACACATTCTTGCTTCAACATTTTCACAGCGTTGTGTCATTTGAAGAAGAATTAAGCCATGGTAATACTCACCGATGCCAATTCAAGAGCCTCTATAAGCATTATCATCAGGAATTTTAACATAATAATTCTTCATCATTAGCTTACTAATATATGAAGAAAATTCGCTAAAACCGTTGTAATCGCTAACCGCGAAAACTACTGAACCGATTTTGCTGAAATTTTGCACACTGATTCATGATACTTTCTAGATGGTTTTAGTATAGTTTTTATCTTGAAAAATTTAATGACAATAGCAATAAATGAGCTCAAAGTTTTGCAAAAATACGCCAGCTTTTCACTTTGGTTCAGTAAAATCCGCTAGGTGGCGTCGACATAAAATCGAGGCTACCTGCAACAGAATTAAATAAGTGTGGTTATAATACGCCGGAGCGTCTAGGTATCTGATGCATTCGCACTCCGACAGTTCAACGAGCTGCGTAGAGAATGTAGATAATAGTCTTGCATCTGGATATCCCGGTTACGGACGACACTCTTCTGTAAGGGGGAAGGGACCTAGATATCCATTCACCCTGAATCTAGACGAGTGCAATCAAAAAAAAATTCATTCTAACCGATGACGTCTCTGGCATAATACCAGGAGACATATCTAGCCAGAGCACAATCTGCACCAATTCTTCAGAGTTGTGTGGCAGTCCCACCATTCCACCTGGTGCAGTTAGAGAATTTTTGGCTACAAATGTAAGCCACGGAAAACAGCTGTGAGGGGCACGGGCAGCCACAACGGCTACCTTCTTGGTCGTCGCGTCCCCAACGCGCTTACCCACATGTTCCCGTCCAACGATGATCGATTGGTTATCTGGGGAACGACCCGAAGACGAGATATTCTTTGGTCAGCGGCGTACCTCCCTTCATCACAGTCTCCGTACATCAAGACTCCCAGGGTAAGAATCAAGCAACCCGTAGCCAGCTCTTCATCATCAGGAATAATAATAAAGAATAGCCTGGAAGTTTCACCACTGGCGCTTTTTAGGGACATTATAAGTATTTACGTTCCCTACTTAACCATCAATTTCATCGGTTCTTTTT